TGTCAGTCGCATTTTTAAAGCTGTAAAGGAAATTTTGTCCTCTCTGCAAATAGTCCTCTGCTTCTCATTCTGCTGCAGAAAGACACCCCTTTCCTATAGTCTCAGAAAACTGAGGCTCACACTTCCTAACACCATTTTTAAACTAGGTGTTAACATTTCTCATACGCTTTCTTATTTCAGACATAGCCCAGAGGGATGGTTTTTAAAACACTAACCTGACATTCTACTGATAAAGGGATTAAATGAAAGTATTTGCATAATGTCTTCCAAAAAGATAGGCTTTATGATAGATGACACCAAAATATATTGCATAAGAATGTGAATCATTTGGAAAGGGAAAAAGTGCAAGTAATTTGTAAAGAGATTAACAGAGTAGAACAGGGCTACGTTGGACATTGATATTGTGAAATAGTAGGATTTCATGATGTCAATTGTTACACAGCATCTTGCTGAAGAGACCTGCCCACCCTAACTTCCTTGTTTCACTACAGGATGATCCGATAACCAAAGAAGCCCAGACTGGTTAGCTTCAGACAGAACCATTTTGCAGCCACCTTCAGAAAAAAAAAGGAATATTAGCTGTTATGTTCTTGTATCACGAGATGAATTTGAATTAATATTTTCTCCATCTTTTTGGCTTTATTTCAGAAATACATAGATTGGTGGGAGGGGGGATTTAACAAGCTTTAGGCAAGCTTTGCTAAATCCACAGTATATAGGGTACTGGACGACATGCACTGGAATGCTGATTCCATGAGGCTCGGAGTCTTATCGTGTCTGCAGGCAAAGAGTAGAAATGCTTTTACATTAGACTTGCAAAATGTAATGTGCAGTGCAGTACTTTCTGCCTGAACTGTTCTGTCAAGTTAGCATGATTAGGTGCTACACCCCATTTTGAATTGTCTTCTTTTTATTTTTTGGTTTTCTTTTAAGAAAGTGTAAGTCATACACATGTTCTAGGAATGGTCTGGAGAGTTCAGAGAGAATTTGAAAGTGTGACATCAGCTAGAATAAATATATCAGTTGGTGATCTTTAAGGTCCATTCCAACCTGAACCATTCTATGATTCGATGATTCTGTGATTATTTGATAGATAGAACCAAGATACATAACCTACATTCAATTCTTCATCCTGTCATTGGCCTACTAAGCTGAGAGAAGTTAAATCCTTTCTTTTGCCTTTATTTTTGCATATTTAATGTGGTCCCTGTAATTGTTGACTGCCTCTTAGTCTTGTTAATGCATCTAATCTCAAAACATGCCTCTGAGGCAGGGAAATACTATCTTTTCCAAATGTAGATGGGAAACTGAGACATGGAGGGTTATGTTCATACCACCAAGCATGATCAAATAATATTTGACTCCAATGACTTCGGATAGAGCCAGCAGCTTTAGAGAGCAGATGATCTGAATCACCTATCTCTCTGTTAAATAATAATCACAATAATCTCTGCTGTAATAAACACAACGGTTAAATTAGGCTGAATTTGAGAAGGGCTCTGCCGAACAGACCTCTGAGAGTTAAAGGTTTTTTTTTGCAAAGACATTTTGATGTATAGCTCTCACTGAAATCAAAGAGAAGGTCTGTGTCCCAGGGACTTTGCCCTGGATTGCCCACTAGGTCTGTTGCACAACAAGGAAGTACTGGTGGGTGCAGCTCTACAAAGAGAAAATCTTTGTAATTTTCTGTTTTCCTAAGTGGAAATTCCTAAATAAGTGCAACCTTCCTGTATGACATATACGTAAAGTTTCTCTCCTCTAAAATGCAGACAATGAGTCTAACTTATTTTTCAGATGAAGGGCTCTACATCAATCTGAAGAAATTTTTTTTTTATTTAGTAATAATTATGCTTTAACTAGGAATAAAAATGTAGGTTCCCATTGTCTCTGTGAAGTCATGTGCAAACAGAAATACAGGAGAAATTGCCAAAGCAACTGATTAACTATCATTACTTAGCTAATATTTACTTCCTATCTCGGAACTGGCTTTTAAGCATAAAAGAAAAACAGGTGAGAAAATATTGTGCTTTGTGGATGAATTGCAGTACCAGCCTCTGGAAGGAACAGAGACTCACTGTTATGCTCAGAAAACAGTTTTTTTTTCCCCTGATTAGAGATCCAGGCTCCAAGCTCACAGGCTGTCTATGCTGACTACACAAAGCTGCTTTCAAAACTGCACTCGCTTGCTACGCACTGGAGCCTGCACGTGTGGCCACGTCTGCTGCAAAGTTGCCCTCTCTGTAGCTGGCAAGACTCCAGGTGCCCTAGCAAGGCCAGTGGGCTTGTACATGCCGTAGCCAGCTGCCTTCAGGCAGTTAGCAGGCTGCCAAGGCATTGCTACATGGATGGGGCATGGAGCACGCAGTCTGCATACATACAGAGGTATCTGTACTGTCCTATTTCTCCGTGCTAGGCTTTCCCTTGAGTCCTTATCTAACTTGCTAAATGCATCCACCCCTGGGAATGATGCCTGGTCCACAGGAAAAGCAGCTTGTTTGCACCCTGCTAAGAGCTGGTTCCTTCCCAGCAGCTTGGTGGTTTCCCTTGTATCCATATGATGAAACACTTGTCCTTTTGGCTCTCTTCTGGGCCCTTTGGCTTTAAGATGTGATCGTCACTTTTCTGGTGGTTTTTTTTTTGTGTGTGTGATTTTTTTGTTTGTTTGGTTTTTCTTTTTGTTTGGAACATCAGAAATAACCTGAGGTGTGGGTTGCAGCAAATCGGAGTGATATTTCCATAACAAGGGATGTGCCAGGAGGGCTTATGGCAGGTGTTTGTCAGTATGAGACGTGGTAAGATATTGTTGGAAGGCTGGTTAGGACCAGGCAGGGTTGATAAGGAACAAACCCTCATCCAGGCCACCTTTTGGGAGTGATCTGTTCCCAGGACTTCCCTTGGTTTTGTATGGAGAAGATCAGTTGGTTCACTCCAAGAAAGAGGCTGGGAAGGAAGTGACAATTCTGCAACACCAGGATATCACAACCTGAGAGTAAACTGGGAGTTAACTTGGTGGGCAGTGTAGGCTTACCAGTTATCTTCAATACGTATGTGCTGGTTTGCACCTGAACTCTAGTCTGGAGTGGCCAAAGTGTTTTTCTTCCAGTGCAGAGGATAGTTCATAGCCTATGGCTGCTCTGATGTGGACCAGTCTGCTCTTCTTGGACTGGAGCTCAGGGCTTGAGCTCTTACAAACACACTGTAACTACAACTTCAGTTTCTCCATTCCCTTGAAAGTCCTGTGATTTACCCCAGGAAAGCAGACCACTATAACCTGGGAGGAAGAGGCTTGGATTCTCTTTCTTGCTGTACCACCACAGCTCTGGTTCTTTTTGCTTAGACATTAACACATGCCTTCCAGGTCTTGTCTATCTCATATTGAATTATTAGCCATGAAATCTTCCGGTGGACATGCAGCTCCTGCTGTGAAAAAGTGTTTTTGCAAGGACATATTATATCCGTTCCCTGCAAAATGAGCTACTCCTCAAAAAAGATGCTGCTGCCAGCCTTGTGAATCTGCCAGGAGGCTTATGCTTATGCGAAGCTGTGGTAAAAATGTGTCACCCCAACCAATGGACTTGACTGGTCTGAAGAGTTTTCTAGCATGGATGTGTCCTAAGCCTCAGGTTTTCCATTTGCCACCTGGAGCTGATAGTGCTATGGTAACATAAGCAAGCCTCCTGAGTTCCTGACCCAGGAGATGGGTTTCATATGACTTCTGCTGCTCAGAAGTCCGCTGCTCCTGTCCTTACCTCTGCCCTCCAACACTGGAAGGCAATAAGGGTCTCCTAACCACTTTCTCCACTTACACACAACTGCAGCCATTTGTTGCTGACCCAGTATAAGAACTAAGTCTGACAAAATGAAGAAGAAAAGACCAAATGTTGCATTGACGATACAGGTGCAGGAATGGACAAGAGATGACATGTTTTGGTCTAGGGACTTCTTTTACAAGCTAACAATATGGCCATCCCCTTAGTCCTGACCGGAACCTTCCTCCCAAACACCAAGCTCATTTTCCCAGTCATCCACAGAACTCTGGAGAGAAGTTTTAATTTCTTTTGCACCAAGGGGAGGCTTGCAACTGACTCCACCGAGGTGGTAGCTTGTTGGAAGTTGGGAGTTCTCATGGTGGGCTGGATGCCTTGGGAACCGCAGGCAGTTCACTGCCTGTCATACGGTAGTGTGGTACAGCGGGAGAGTGTGGGGACCACAATAGACATTGCCTGTGGCCTTTTTTTGTCTCTCTGGATGAATGCTGTAGAGACAGGACAGTGAATCATTGTGGTCAGGTGGCATGCAAGCTCCGTGAAAAGAGAGCAAGTAAGTAAGCATTGATGGATACACAGTGTTAATGCATGAGCAAGCATTAATGGGTACATAGTGTTAATGTACAAGACATACTGGGAAGGAAATTGGAGGAGATGATAATCTTTTTGTGTCGCACCTGTGCTATGTGAGAATTGAGGGAACCGAAAAGCTGCAGAGACCCCTGTGCAATTTACTTATTGTCAAAGGTCTATTGGTCTTTGAAAAAAGGAGAGGATATTTCTGGTGTGTGAACAGTCTAACCTAACCTGCTCTTCTCTGTACCTATAAGAAGTAAAAAATACCACCCAGACCTGTATTGTCTGCATAACTTAAAAGGAATCTGTAAGAATTTTTGTGACTGAGTCACAGTAAGAGGAAATGTCTAGCTACCTGTTCTAGCAAATAAGCACCCGATGTTCTGCAAAACCAAGGTTAAGATTAGATACTGCACCATATGGGAAAGCTTTCCTATTAGGAAATTGGATGCAGTTAATTTCTGATGGTGAGTAACTCATATGTTCTTTGTACGTTAGTAATTTGGCACCTATTATTATACTACTTTGTGACATCACTTCTCCAAAAACTTAGAAAAATATCATGCAAGTTCCTTAAGGTTTGGTTGGGGAAATCCCCAGACTCTGCTATATAAGACCTCCTTTGTCCCTTTGCTGTCACATCTGCTGGCTGAGAAGATGGAGCACACACAGGTCGCTGTGTTGATCCTCATGCAAAGCGTGATTGCTGTGGCTGCAACGATGACAACAACAGGCCTGGTAAGATGGGGGTCTCATAGCCTGAGCTTTAGTGCCTCCTTGTCTTCCCATGTAATTTAGACTGCTGAAAATTCTTTTAAGGTTACTGGAAAATTATTAGGCAAATGTTGAGATCTCTGCATGGGGAAAGTTTAAAGTATTCCTTCATCCTCCCCCCAACTCATGTATAGGGACTGGGGAATAAATGTAAAAGTGAGGAACAGGTTTAAAATCAGAGTCAAATTCTGCCTTTGGTTAGATGAGTGCAACTCCCAGTGAGGATCTGAGTGGATATTAAATGCTCTGTGTAGCTTCTAATTAATTAGCAAGGGCTTATAGCAGGAAAGGATCCACGTCTTTGATGTGGAAGGAGTTGGGAGGTGGGGGCTTGCCCACTTACATGATTGCTGTCATAATCTGCGACCCCATAATCTGTGACATGAAAGCTGTACTGTGTGGTTTTTGTGGGGCGCTCTCTTTCTTCCCCACAAAACTGTATCTGGTTGGGCAAGAAAGAAGTTCAAATCAAAGGCATCAATCAGACAAAAAATGCCACAAAACCAGCAAGAAATCTGGTGAGGAAGGGAGAAAACTTTGAAGAAAAATTTTAAATGTAAAAATTACATTAGTGAAAGATTGCTTTGGTTTTGTACTGCCTCTTTTTATTTTTTATTTTTTATTTTTATTTTTATATTTTTTATTTTTTATTTTTTTATTTTTTTAAATTTAAAACTGGGTTTAAATTATGAGAAGAAAAAGTTTGTGAATAGTTTAAAAGCTCTTCCAAATGAAACAAGAGATTTTGCTTTTTTTTGACCCAAAGTGACTGCCTTTTGTTATTTTTTTTGTTAAAATTTTGAAAAAAAAAAATTGGTTCCAAATGACTCTTTATGATTTTTTCTGGTCTAGTTACTAAACAGAAAAATCCTGTGTGCCCCTAGTTATATTTTTCAAGGTTTGGGAGCACTGTGGATGCAGGCAGTGAAGTCAGCATCTCCTGGGAAGGTGCTTTTATCTGCTCAAGGAACGGAGAGTTGCAAAAGTTAAGATGGAGGTGTAAATGTATGTTGATAAGCTGAGGGTAGAAAGTTTAATATGGGAGACATTTCTCCTCAGTCTCCTTAGCTTTAAGCTAGTCCCTAATTTGTGTAATTTACACAATTTGTGGTGTTCTCTGCCCTACCCCTGTTAATTGCTACTAGCTCCCCCCCCCCCCCCCCCCCAAAAAAAAAAATCATCTGAGTACACAAAGACTTGTTCAAATGGGTTTATTTGACAAACTGTTCCACAAAAGGTTGTTTACGCTGTGTCCTTTAATAGACCTGTCCTTTGCTGGCCATTTGGATTTCCCCACCATTCCCTGGCTTGGGAATGGGGCTTTGCCTGGAATTTGGGACATGCAGAAAGACACAGGGGTAGGTGTGCCGTTGCAGGTGAAGACCATTTGATGCTCCATCTGTCACACCATTTGACATTGAGGGTGTCTTGCTGCAGTTCCCAGTTTGCCATAGATTTTGGTGAGACCCCACTACGGGTGACAGTGTGCTGCATCGCAGCCATGCACTGTGCTCCACACACTGCGTGGGGATGAAGCAGAACTTTAGGGACACACGTTACAGTGCCAGGGTGACAGCTGCTCTCCTTACTGTGACAGGAAGGCTGCTGCCAGCCACAGATGAAAGTTAAAGGGGATGGTTATAGTCTTACGCCATAAAAGACTCCCAAAGTGGACTTGGCTGTATCCTTAGCAGTGTGGTGTTTCCCCCCAGCACTTCCTCCCCTCCGTGGTGCTAGTAGCAGGGCAGGATGCACATCCCAACCACCACAGCTCGCAGCCTGACAGCTTGGCGTGAAAGTGGCAGCGCGTCCCACACCAAGAGGAGTGGTGAGGAGCAGACATCCCTGCCCGGAGGACAGTAGTCTCCGGATTTAGGGCAGGGGGGCAACAGTACTGTCATTTTAGACTGCCATGCAATCTGCCAAGGCTGCCTGTCAGATCCCCAGCTCACACCTCCCGGGCAGGCTGAGCGTCCCCTGCCTTGAACTGGTCACACAGAGCCTTTCTTCAAGAATAGGTGTCTATGAAGTGACACTGTGCCTGGGGAAACAGGCGCCTCAGCAGCAGATCAGAAAAGCCAATAATTTTACAATTGCTGGGGATGGCTCCCATAATAAAATTAAAGTGCTTTGGAGCTGCAGGGTGGAGGCTAGCTGGTGGGGAAGGGACAGTGCCATATGCAGGAATTCACACTGAAAAAGGTTTTCCTTTGCTTTTTAGACCCCTCATAACACCCTTGCGTATCTGACTCAGCCTAGCAAGACGACTGGTGGCCTGCACACTCCCCCAAAGGTATGACCATTACTGTTCTTCAATGAAGTCCAGAAAAATACAAAATTAGGAACTTGTGTCCCATTTTTTTAAATGCCGCACAGTTGCTCGGAGGTTTAACCTTGATACACGTTCATCATTTATGCTGCCCAGGAAAGGGCATTTAGGTGTTGTGTATCCAGGATTTTAGGCAGTAGCAAATTCTCAAAATCATCTGTGCTGATACCATGTCATTCAATGCCTAACGTCACATCCAAAGCTCTGGCATTGCCCTTGTGACCACTGAACTGCACTGCAGACTTGAAACAGCTGTGGCCATGGGGGTTTGATGGCAGTGTACCAAACAGTATAGTGGTTACAGCCTCCCTAGAGCAGGGGGAAGACTTCTTTTCAATTCTGTCTTCCCATGTAAACCAGAGCAGAGCCTTGAAACTCTCTTCTGAGAAGTGCCCAATTGTAGTTGCTGGGGGTGAGAAAATCTTGATTCTTCCTGTTCTACATAGCTCAAAATGTATTCCAGTATTTTCAGATAGAGGGACCTGAATCTGATTTCTGTGCCTTTCAGTATAGTGCTCAAGTCTGTGGTCCGCAGATTTCAGGATCTGCTTGCTTTCCCTCTCTCTGTCAGTGACTCCTCAATAATGTGTTTCCTTTGTAGCAGATTCAATGGGACACACTTGGTCTGAATGGTCCTGCAACCTAGTAACAAGAACAGGATTTGTTCAAAGCACAGCTCCAGATTAGGTCAGAGATGGTAGACAGCCCCATGGCAGGTCTTTGTTGTCCAGGCTAGTCCAGTGTGGCACCTGGGATGTGTGGAGGGACCTCTTCTGATAGAGAGTTAAGTCTCTGGCTCCAGCAGAGAGTTTAGAAAGTTAAATGGAGTTAGGAGTCTCTCTCTGAGTCTTCGTAGCAGGACCCAAATCTTATCCATCTCCTTGCCCAGCTGAGGTGGCCTCTGTCCTGACTGTGTGATCGCTGTGGATCCCATTCTTTGTCTCAGGAAGAGCAAGTAGCTAATTCAGAGCTCTGAATGACACTGGGCTACAGTGTAGCTGGAAATTAAGCACTGAAATAGCTAATCTGTAACTATAAGTCCACATTTAAGCAGCTGAATGCATTTCCTGGTTTTGAGAAAATCAAATACCTACTGGATGCTACTCCCTTTCTTATATTGAAAGGATGTGGAAAAGGAACATTTCGTGCCCATACACAGAGGACTCAGAGGTGAGAAACATCTAAGTGACTTAGGGATCTATTTTTCATAGTAATTTAGGTACTAATAGCCATATCTTCAAAAGTACTTGGAAACTTAGAAATAGTTTGCGGTGTGTTCCCAGTGGCATTTTCAGAAGTGCTTTGGTAATCCACCTGGCAGGGAAATCAATGGAAGTTATGTGCTGGGACAACCTGGAATGCCATGAGATACTTCTCTGCTTCCTTTCATGTTAAATGTCTTCAGCAGTCTGTCTATAAGTGAAGTTTTAAGGCCCATGGTACTTCAGTAACACAGATAAAACGTCTTTTCATGCTTTCTTTCAAAATGAGATGCACGCTGTTTGTTATGGCTGCAGTAAAGAGGTTGCCAGAAGTGTGAACTGAGATCATTCCTGCTTGCTGCTCTTGTCTTCTTGGACTCACAGATCAAGACAGCTTTGCTGCTGGCCATCACTGCGTGTCCTGGGCTAGTTTGGCAGTGAAGAAGTTAGTTGAAATCACTGTGAAAAAGCAAGGGAAGATGTGCTGAAATGTCAGCTTTCGGTAGATAGTTTTGTTGTTTGCTTGTTTATCTTTAAGAGGGAGAGAGAAAGAGAAAACACATGAATAACACTGGGATTTCTGCAAGGCAGGAGGAGGGATTATACAAAGAATTGTATTTAAAGACCAAGTGTCTAGCTTTAAAGTATGCAACTGCATTGAAGTGTGTGCCAGAATATTTTAGTGACATCAAATAGCTTTATTAATAAATTTGTGATAGGTTTATGAACCAGGAAACATTTTGTATACAAACAAAAAAGAACTGCTCCAAACACACTCAGTATTCAGCCCAGCGTTTATAGGAAATTATGTCCTTTGGCTGTAAATTATGGCAAGATCATGAATTGCCAGCCCTGACCTTTCCATACACCATACACATTGCTCCAATGGTGTTGTTTCGAGCATGCAGATTACCAGGACAAGGCGATTCATACTAATGGCATGTGAGATAGCTTTGCAAACTATCCACACGTGTGGATGGGCAGGCTGTGATGTGTGGGTGTTGCGTGCAATATTTTATAGCAAAATAAGTATCTCTACCTTAGGCTGAGCCCGCATATTTAGTTCATCACCTTTCAGTGGTGCATAATTACATGCATATGTCTGTTTGCTGGGGCTGACTGAGAAACTTCAAATGAAGCATTTTTCTTTTCAAAACTTTCACTGTTACTAGTTCTATTTTGTTGCTTTTATCTCTATGGATGGAAATGACTAGATGATCTAATCAATTCAGATTAACAGAACAGTAACTATAAGACCTAACTTACTAAGTTATTATTTTCCTGCTGTTGTATGCTTTTGCATCTGCCAGAAAAATTATTTTAGTATCTTAGGAACGTTGTCCACAAGATTGGGAAAGTAAGATCTATTACATGCTTCTGTTTTTCCAGTGGTAAAATCTTTACAGTAGTATTTAACTATTTTCAGAAAGATTTGTAAGGCTGAGTCATAAAAATTGCCAGATATTTTGAATTCCTTGGAAGAAAAATGTGAAAGATGTCCAGTAACAAAGTTGTTGATCTCATGATTGCCACAGCTCATATTATTGTCAGACAGCTCCTGATTCCAGAGAAGAATATTAACACTCTTTTCCTTACCTATTTGTTATTGCAGCTCTTTGCCAATGTGTCCGGCTCTGTGGATGACAAGGGAACTTGTCAATGCTCTGTGTACTTGCCGGATACCACCTTTCCAGTGCAGAAGGCCGAGCAATTGGAAATTATAGCCACAACGCTCTCGGAGAAATTTGAGTTAGAGCTTTCTCAAGTAAGGTGTTCTTTTCTCATAAATATAACAATTGTATCTTTGCTGAAAAATGGTTGCCTGTGAAAAAGTACAGCAGTCAGCGCTTTTCTGTGGCATGTCTTTCAAACAGCGGGAAAGAGGGCTCTGTAAGAACAAGGAGAATGGTGATTAAATCTCAAATCTTTGACATTGCAGCATGTCATACATTTGAATATCCTTAGGCCTCCTTTCTAGGCCTTTGTAGCTAGAAGCATATGGTATTTTTGGAAGAATGGTTATGTTTTTCCTCTTTTGGCTCAGTTTTATTGGTTTGTGATCACTACACAGAGCTATAGGAAGCCAAGCCTCCTGCTCTTTCATGTGTTATTATTTGTATCAAGCCAGCCAGATTGTA